TCCATTACGTGAATGTTGGTCACTATATATCCAATAATTTGTAAATGTTTAAATTCATTTCTATTTTAAATATTGAAAATCAAATATAAATTAAAGTTTTTTTATACCAAATGAAGTGTCCGATAATAGTCGTGAAGTAAAAAATGTATTTTTATTATGTTAATAAATTAAAAAAATATTCCTCTATATGTTTATAAATTATTGAAACTAAATATGTAATTGAGATTTTCAAGAAATATTTCAAATATCTTCGAATGAAATCTACAAGAAATCTTAAACAAAATCTGTCGCTTGAGATATTTAGCAAAGATTACAAAGAAATATTTACAAATTATTCTATGCTACTAGGGAAATTTCATGTATACACGTAAATTATTCGTAACTTTTTTCTGTCTAGGAATTCTATGAAATTGTGGAGACTCTCTGGAAGGATCGAGGGGTCCAACAAAGTTTCGAAAGGAGTAACGAGTACCAACTCATTGACTGCGCCAAGTAGTAAGTATGATCATGAATAATTAGTAATAAATCAATAGCAGCTTTTCTTGAATTTCACTTGAAAGAAGGCTCTCTAATTCTTCTTTATCATCTAGTCCGGGATACAATAATGTTTTTTAATTCTCGCGATAATCTAGTATCTTCATTTCAGTTTTAAGGGGAATACATTCATAGTGGCATTTGAAGAGTCAATCGTTCATGAAACTTTTCTCCAAACTGATTATACCGAAAAGTTTCTAACTTTACAACATGAATGTGAAAGCTATAAAGACGGTCCTACACCCATGAAATTTCATTTTTTATAGAAAGTCTTAAAATTATCTATAAATAATAAAAAGAATTGTAATTTCATGGGTGTTAGGATCTTTTTTATGGTCTTCATATTCACGTTGTAATGACCCTCTCATGTCACCTTAATCAGTCATGTATTCGGAAGGCAGTCGTCATGAAACTGAGCATAATTATTTTTCAATAAATTTGTCATTACTGAGCTTATAAAAGCGCAGAAAGTGAACATGTGGTTTATTAAAATGTGGATTATTTTTTATGTTTTAGTTTCCTAGACAAGGTAGCCATCGTCAAACAGCCAGATTATACACCAACAGAACAGGTAAGCATCATTTAAGGCGAAGTGAAACACGTCGAGGAACTTAATCGACGTCGGTAAAATACGTTTTCTAAATACCTACGTTGCCGACGTTCGTTTTTATACTGGCAGCTGTGTCGAATTATGTTGACTATTGTACCAAATGGCATACTCTGTCGTTTTCGTACAATAATGATAAAGAAATCGAAGTAAAACTCCAGAAATCTTCTAGATTTTAGTAGTTTATGTGGTTGTATAAGCTTTACTTAAATAAATAACACCGATTTGGTTCTTTCAGGATATTCTTAGGTGTCGAGTCCTTACATCTGGAATCTTCGAGACGCGGTTTCAGGTTGACAAAGTTAACTTTCAGTAAGTGTATTTTTCCTCTGACATTCGTAGCCAACTTTATACGCTAATTTATAGTCTTCAAATGAAGTTGAAAGTGTGCAAGAAATGAAAGGAATTATCTCTAGTGGCACAGAATAATTTCAACAAATTTAATTGCAACAAATTTTTTTAATGTCTCGTAGATGTTCTTTGAAGATATCCAAAATGTTTATAGAAAATCTCAATAACATATTTAGTTTTAATAATTTATAAACGTGTAATAAATACACATTTTTTTACTTTACGAGTATTATTGAAAATTTCATTTGGTATCGAAAAACACCACAAATTTTTGCAATATTTTCATTCCGCTATTTCATCATGGGAGCAAAACGTGTAATTTTGATTTTAAATATTTTTAAAACGTTTATAATGTATTCAGCAGANTATAGGTTATTTCAAACTATAATGATTTAAACATTTGAAAGAAACATAACCCATAGTAATGTCATTTACATTCGACTTACCAAGTTATATATATACCTTCCTACGGCGCTGCGTTGCATTTGAAATGTAGAATAATTTCGTATTTTTAGGAACAATGAAAAGAATATAGGAACGAAATGTGATCTAATTTTTATTTTTATGTAACAAAGAACGCACTGACAGTATACTGAGTTTCTTTAGAATATAAATAATAGATACACTTTTTACAGTAATTATTTATTGTTAAAGTTCATTACACGCCATTATTATAGCAGCTATTAACGCTATCATAGGTTATTTCAAACTGTAATGATTTAAATATTTGAAATAAACAAAAGAAGGTAGATTGACTGGAAGGTACAAAATGAAAATCATAGATGTCACCAGGGTACTACAGGGTTCTGAAGAAATAATACAGATGTCATTGGTTAACGAGTAACGTGCAAGCGCAAAATTAGTTCTTCACTTCCGTCTACTACGTCAGATGGCGCTGCAAACACCATCTAATTTCTCCGATTAGAGTGTCACCCCCCTGCAGGTATGGACTGCTAGCAGCTCGCGTTTAATCATGTATCAACAGCTCGAAAAGCGAGACCAATATGAACCGTGGTGCAGGCCCGAGTCGTGGAACAAAAGGAGGGAAATTCTGTTGGAATTATAAACCTGAAGATTGAGGTTTATAAATGAAACAAAAACCAATCTATGTTTAATGCGTATAGAGAGAGAGAGAGTCTGGCCTGTGTTTAGTGGAGGGTTTTCGGTAACGATAAGAACCGTTGTTTGGATTAAGAGGCGACGTAGAGTCGCACCTCCACAAAGAGGGTCCAGAGAAAGAATTTAGTCATCACTGTTCCTGACCGAGATCAGCAGTTGCCCTTTTGTGGTTAGTTCGCTAGAGTGATTGGAGAAGTAAAGATGGGTCCTCCGAGCGTTAAATAAAGAATAAAGTCTTTGTTAAATTAAATACAATAAAGTGCATCATTCTCACATCCCATTTCCAATAAATTCAAATACGAGGGATGTCTCAAAAGTATGTTCCACTATTTTCTTCAACCCGTTTGGTTGGTGGGAAACGTTTGAAATTTGGAGGGAATATTTGCCTGGGTGTAGGGCAAGCTCTGCAAAATCCCTATGCGTGTGCATTCATCGCTAGGTCAGTCACGCCCCAGTCGCCACTCGCTCTTATTGCCGATTGTGAAGTTCGTGGTGTTATTCGTTTTTTAACTGGAAAAAATAAAAATGCGACTGAAATTCGTCGCGAATTGTGTGGCGTGCACGGTGAAGATGTTATGTCAAGGTCGATGGTTGCTCGTTGGCGCTAATTATTCATTGATGGGAGAATAACATTGTACGCTTGTAGGAGGTGAAATTACCGAAGCGAAACCACCGCCAACGAGTCTATATTGTTGTAGATTTACAGAACATTAATTGGATTATTGTTAAAAAAAACCATAGATATGATCCTCGAGAAGGCGTATATAAAAATGGATCCAAGTGTTCCGTTCTATGTTCCTTGACCAAGTGTCGTCCCGTCCACTGTTCGCAGGGACCGTCTTGGTTTAGCCGTATCAGTTGTTTAGGCCATGCTCATATCTTGTAAACATTCTCGCCTTTCCTCGCCCATGATTCTGGGAATAGGTCCGCCCATGGACCTCCGATAATTTGCCTTGCCTCTTCGAAATATTTCCTTCACGATGAACAACGATACGGCTGGCCCTCGACTTCACGCCCTCCTAGTGTTGCCAAGCATGTTCGAAGGATCTTGGATTCCGATTGGCGCCTTACGCTTGATGAAATTCTTTATCAACTGCCTCCGAATATTGAGATCCAAGGTACCAGAGAGAGATGGAGAGAGGGACAGAAGGTTCCGGTTAAAAAACGAATAACACCACGAACTTCACAATCGGCGGTAGGAGCGACTGGAGTCTCATTGTTTTTGACCGGAACCTTCTCTTCCTCTCTCTAACTCTCTCTGGTGCCTTGGATCTCAATATTCGGGGGCAATTGATAAAGAATTTCATCAAGCGTAAGGCGCCAATCGGAATCCAAGATCCTTCGAACATGCTCGGCAACAGGTGCGTAAAGCTGGCACCCCACCTTTACAAAATTCAAATTTCTTTGTCTTAACATTTTGTGCTCTTTATGTGCTAATTATGTGCTACATTCGCAAATTTTGTGCTAGCTCAGTTTTTGGAAAAAAATTCAATTTTTCTTCTCGGCAAAACTCGGAGTAAGGGAAGTCGAGGGCCGGCCGCTTCGTTGTTCATCGTGCAATGTTTTTCTCCTATCAATGAATAATTGGCACCAACGAGCAATCATTGACCTTGACATAACATCTTCACCGTACACGCTACACAACTCGCGACGAATTTCGGTCACATTTTAATTTTTTCCGGTTAAAAAATGAATAACACCACGAACTTCACAATCTGCGGTAGGAGCGAGTCGAGTCTCCATGGCGACTGGCTCTTGACTGACCTAGCGATGAATGCACGGGCATAGGGACTTTACAGGACTTGCCCTACACCCAGACAAATATTCCCTCTAAATTTCAAACGTTTCCCGCCAACCAAACGGGTTTAAAAAAATAGTGGAACTTACTTTTGAGACACCCCTCGTATAATCATTTCGATCGAGATAACGTAATCCATGGGACCGGTTCTTTAAGTCAAAGAGATACTAAAAGATAAGCTACATTTTGAATAACTTTACCTCTAGGAATTTTATGAATACAATACGAAAACAAAAAATCATTTCCTCGAGTAGCTGTGGAATCTTTCTTCCAAATGCTATTGCACGTATACCTAATTCTTCATATACTTCAAAATCCAGTTCAAAGCTTCGCGTTGCACGGACAGTGATGGTTAGGTGTTTATGAATATGATGTCACTTAATCCGATATGATTGGTTAATCCCTTACCTTAAAATGGCATATTTACGTCATTTTCTTTATTTTTACTCGGATATTTTGTGCTATGGCAGCCTTTAACCAAGCAATAGCGATCCATTTTCCTTAAACGCGAATCTATTTCGTTGTGAATTTAAATTAGAACTTCAGGTATACGAAAGGGTTAGTTCTTGGTCCACGATGGCGCTGATATCTTAGCAACCTGTGTGAAGTTGGCAACTAGCAGTCCATGCTTTTACAGTCAAAGGCCGTGAGCGCCTCCTAAATGAAATTTTGCAATTAAAAATAATCGTCCGTTAGCGGATCCGCTAGTCTTTGTCCCATTAAAAATATTATATTCTGTATGTAATACGCGGATTATTGTTTCACTTTGCGTATCTTAATTGCAAATTTAAAAGCAGTTTAGTTCATTCACGTCGATAGGAAATGTTTTGGTCAAGGAGGAATCGAGTTAGATCGTTAGATCGGCTAAAATCTCAGATTTTGGGGTCACATTCTGTGGAACCGACCATAGGCGTTTCCTTATTGTAGGAGATGAAATTACCGAAGCGAAACCACCGCCAACGAGTTTATATTGTTGTAGATTTACAGAACATTAATTGGATTATTGTTCAAAACCGTAGATATCGAACCGTAGATCCTCGAGGAGGCGTATATAAAAATGGATCCAAGTGCTCCGTTCTAAGATCCTTGACCAAGTGCCGTCCCGTCCACTGTTCGCAGGGACCGTCTTGGTCTAGCCGTATCAGTTGTTTAGGCCATGCTCATATCTTGTAAACATTCTCGCCTTTCCTCGCCCATGATTCTAGGAATAGGTCCGCCCATGGACCTCCGATAATTTGCCTTCATTATACAACTTCATGGCAGCGTCATTAAAAATATTTTTTCTATGACAATACCTTACGATCACTTCTTTTTCAGACGATAACCAGCGCTATGGGAACATTGACTCCACCAGTAGCGTTAGAGGATCCTGCGAATCAGAGTAGAGTCAACTATATCATGGATGTCTCGTCTTCCCCAGACTTCGACTACCCGCCGGTAAGACATTTGTCTTCGTTTTACTCCGTGTCTATAAACATGATAGACACGGTTTACGTAGCGCTATCCTTGTCGAAATTGGAGGGGAAAATTCCTATACTATCGCGAAACTCGAAGCGTCGAGTGACGAGAAAGACGCTCTCTGCGCGCTTCAAGTTGAGTGAGACGCGACAGAGCTCTATACGTCAAGGATCCACTATTTAAGGGGATGTGAAAGTGGCATTCGATAGCTCAATCGTTAATCAAACTTTTCTACGAATTGGGGGTCTCAAATCGCTTCATACTTTAAAACGTGAATATGGACACCATAAAGTAGGTCCTGAAACTCGCGAAATTTCATTTTTTATATACTACTTTTAAAATACCTATAAACAAATTTGAAAAGAATTGAAATTTCATGAGTTTCGGGACCTTCCTTATAGTCTCCCTATTCGCGTTGTAAAGTTTCAAACTATTTGGTAAACCGAGTTGGGACAAAATTTTATAAACGAAACCTCTTCGACACCACTTTCACATCACCTTAAGGCGATAGAAAAGGCTGTTTTTTTCCGACCGAATTTCGAGAAAAGAATTTCGAATTTTTGAAAATTTGAAGCAATTCGGTCGG